CTGATTTTAAGCTGTTCCATGACTGTTCCACTGATATTTGAAGGACCACTCATTGGATTTTGATGAAACTTGGCACATGGATTCTCTGAACTAATGCACAGATTTGATTAAATTGGGTAAAAATTTGTTATATTAATTACCTAATTTGCATAATGATTAATCAATTTTTGGCTTTTCCACTGATATCTCAAGTACTAATCATAACATTTCAATAAAACTTGATACATAGATGTCATATGATACTTCACAGACCTGATAGTTTTTAAGGTAATATCAGTACATATTAATTACCTAATTTGCATAATTAATTAATTTTCAGCTTTGATATTTCAAGTAGTAATGATCATATTTCAATGAAACCTGGTACTAGTACATAGTTACTTGAGGACTGTGCAGAGACCTAATTAGTTTTTGGGGTAAATATCTGTGCATATTAATCACCTTATTAGCATAATTAGTTAATTTTTAGCTTTTCACCTGTACTAATCATCACATTTCGATGAGACTTGCGACATAGATCTTCTAGGACTATGCATAATTTCGGGGTAAATAATTGTGCATATTAATTACCTAATTTGCATAATTAGTTAATTATTTGCTGTTGCATGGCTGTTGCACTGATGTCTAAAGAACCACTCATTGGATTTTAATGACACTTTTAAAGAGTACTCATCATCACATTTCAATGAACCTAGGACTATACACCATACCGGTATTAGTTTTTGGTAAATATTTCTGCTTCTTAATCACCTACCGGTAATTAACATAATTAATTAATACTGATATCTCAAGTATTGATCATCACATTTGAATAAAATTTGGTACATAAATGCTCTAGGACAATAGACAGCCTGGTTAATTTTGTGTTAAAATCTGTTCATATTAATTCTCCAATTAGCATAATAATTAATATTTTTTTGGTTCTAATTACATTTCAATGAAACTTGGTACATATATATTATATTACGCAGATCTTATTACTTTTACATTGTGCAGACCTTATTAGTTTTACACTTAAATCTGTTCCTATTAGTTACCTTATTTGCATAAGCTTTTTCCATCAATATCTCAAGTTCAAGTAATTTTGAATTCATTTTTAATGTGTCTCCATTACTCTCAGCACACGGGAGTTCTTTCTAAGCTTCCTTTGATTGCAGAGTGTTTTTACTTGGATTCGGCAAGGGAGTTTAATCTTTAAAATAAAGCTGTTTTAAAATGTGCATAAAAAGTGTGTTTATTGGTTATAACACACTGTGTTAGGTCACAGGATGTTGTTTAAAATCGTGAAAAAAACGTCATGCCAGAACTAGCTGTGCTTGAGATTTTGTGTGCAATCAATAACATTCCACAACAAAGGTTATGATGATGATCTTGTCTTGGACTGTTAATTCACACCCTAATAAAGATCATGAATAATATTATAATAAAATGTGCATATTTTTTGTGACCATATCTGTTTCTTCATTGTGAAAGTGAAAGGAAATCAATGATGACACAACTCGTTTCACAATTTTATTCTCCCTAAAAACATGATATTCCCTCTAATTTTCATTTGGATAAATGAAAGGGGTAACATCGTTATAATATTGGTCTTTGGGTATACACATTCACCCCCTTACATTCCCTGATTTTACATGAGGCTTCTGTCCTGGGCTTATGACCTGGGAAGTATAGTACCTGTGTTTCCTCTTACTAACTTGTTTTGTGTTATATGCAAAAAACGAGTGGATACTGGACAATAATTTGTATAAAAAAATGTAGGGATAAAACAGACATACTTATGCATACTGTTTTACAGATTGGAATTCTGAGACCATTTCGTGACATGGTAAAGAAACTGAGCACACTAGGATGGTTATATATGAAAGTAAGGAAATATGTAGATGATAGAAGTACAGATAGGGCATTTGGA